TGAATTTCATACTGTTGTTTTTAGCTCAGTGATCAAACCTATCAAGATTACCTTGAATGTTCTTTATGTTTTCCAAGGTATTATTTATTTTATTTATTACAAACATTTGTATCCCATCCTTCCGACAAGTATTAGATATCCCACCCAGTTTTGTCTCATCTGTAAATTTTATAATCATTCCCTGTACTTCTCATTCAAATCATTACTAAAAATAATGTGATACCCCACTTATTATCTCTCCTCAATTTGAGAAGCTGCTTTAGATTAGCACACTAAGTCTGATTCCGTAGCCAACTTTGATCCACCTGATAGTTGTTCCATCTAGCCCACTTTTCACTAGTTTGCTAATCAGAGTATCATGGGACATGTTGTTGAAAGCTTTAAAGCCAAGGTAGATTATGTCCACAGCATTCCCATAGTTCACTAGAAAGGTTACCCAATCAAAAAATTAAATCAGATTAGTCTGGCAGGATTTGTTCTTGAGAAATCCAAGTTGGCTTCTAGTAATCACTGCATTGTTTTCAAGGTGTTTGCAGACTGAGTGCTTTATAATCTGCTCAGGGAATTTTTGCAGGGATTGATGTCACACTGACTGGTCTGTAGTTCCTAGGTCCTTCCTTGTTTTCCTTTCTTGAAAATAGGAACAACATTAGCTCTTCTCCAGTCATTTGGCACTTCCCCTGTCCTCCATGATTTCTCAAAGATAATACACAGTGGTCTGAAAGTTTTTTCACCAGCTCCTTTAAGATGCTTAGGTGGAGTTCAACAGACCCTGAAGATTTGAACTCATTCAACCCAATTAGATTATCCTTGACCTTTTCCCTGTCAATCTGAAGCTTCCATCCTGCTCCTTCAGCTTGTACTTCTCCTTCATCAGGAAGGTTGTATTTTTCTTTTAGGAAAAGACTGAGACAAACTAGGAGTTGAGAACTTCTGCCTTTTCTTTGTCATCATGACAAACTGAGTTCAACTTGAAATGGACAGATTAGTCCAGCCTGGTGGGAGTTATTTCTTTCAAAAAAGTTCTTCATTTTCCTCTTTGACATGGTTAGATAAGCTAAGTTGGAAATTTTGTACACATTTATCTGAGAGCAAGTCCTATAGAATTTCCATCTGAGTAGAAATGCATAGATTGTGCTATAAGAATATTCCTTTGTTCATTAGCATCACCTGTACATTGCATTTATATCCCATCTTTTCTCCTCTTATGAGGAGACTAAGGCAGTTCGCATAGCTCCCTGTTATCCTCATTCCCGCAACCCTGTGAGGCAGGTTAGCCTGAGAGAGCGCTTCATGGATGAGTTGGGACTGAACCTGGATCTCCCAGGTCCAGTCTAGCATTCTAACCTCCCCACCACAGGCATTGACTTCATTAGTGATTTTGGCAGTTTGAATAAAGATGATGAATGGTTCTCTTATTAAGAAAAGAAATTGTCAGCTTTCCAATGTTGGGAAATACACAGAGTTCTCAAACTTTAACTTTTCATCAGCTGCTCATATTATATATTCATTTTTAGCTCTGCAATTATCAAAATGTGTCTAAACATTCTTGTGACTCATTCAATTCATGCTTTTTTAAAAAGTTCATTGGCATGCGTATCTACTGATATATTACTACAGATAACTGCAATTCATCCTTTTGATGTGTATGCAAATATGTGGTGGAACCACCATGGTCTTTTCAAGGGAAAAGAACATTTGGGGATTGCTGGCAGCCTCTCTCTCTCTCTCTCTCTCTCTCTCTCTCTCTCTCTCTCTCTCTCAACTGGCTAGCAAAGGGCAAGCTGGTGGGGATGAGAAAGGAACAAATATCACAGAATATATTATAGTGCTTAGGGGCTTGAGCTTGTTCTGATGACCTTTCATGGGTCCCTTACAACCTAGTGCCTAAGATTACAAACATACATCGTATTTAGGATCCCGGACAAAATAATACTTAACCTAGTACAATATCTCTTAAGACTCCAGAAAGACAGTTACCATCTGGTAGTGTTCCATTGAAGTGTTTCAGACAAGCTAGAATGACCCAAGGTGGCAAATTTAAGTGGTGGGAGATGACTCATTCCTTCTTCCCTCCCTTGATGTGTGAGGTTTCTGTGCACTTGGAAGTTAGTCTGTGAGCTGACTTTGCTCTTTGTAGAAAATTCTGTGGTACTATGGGTTCCCCTAGAAATTTGATGGGGAGCAGGAATTCTGTAGAGTGCTAATCCTGTGAAACCACAGGATTGGATTATACATTTTATTTTTTACAGAAATGCCATTAGTCTCCAGTGACTTCCTTCTAAGGCAACTGAACCTTGAGCATGAGAATGCCTGGAAATTTTCTCTGTTCACAAGTGAGGCGTATGCACATAACAATATAGCTGCTCTCGCATGTTAGATAAGACCAATGGCAAGTCTTCTGACTAGATGATTGTTACTGGAGTGGTAAATTCTGTGGAGTCTTACTGTGGAAGTGCATATATTATATTTCTATGGCAGATGATTTTTGAAGTAAAAAAGAAAACAGTGGAATCTGTCACTTTTTCAAGGAGAAAATCTAGATCCACTGTTCTGTATAATAATTTTGTGTCATACCCCTACAACTATCAAAATGGTTGCTAACATACAGAATACTGAAACAGAGTTGTACATTTTGAAGTTTGAAAGTAATCTCAGTACATAACTGGTTTAAATTTCTAATCCAGTACATCAGACTCTATGGTATTTCAAGTCAATTGCTTTCTGAATAAAGAACTAGAGACTTTTAAGGAAGGTGGGGAAAGGATTTCCTGCTTGATGTAGGAAATCCAGAGCTACTATACCCCTCCAGAAGATGCCTGTCTGCCTTCTGTGTAGACATATATTCAATGGCTGATGCTTATGGTTCAGTCATGACAGGGACTGCAGAAAGATGCATAAAATGGGAGGATCAGACTTCCATTTTGTGGCCAAAAAAATGACTTCATAGTGGATTAAGGAGATGTGTTCCCAGGTTTAAAAAAGTGCAAGAAAGCAATCTAACATATTTCTTTCCTCCAGGCTTTGATAACAAGGAACATCCACAAATCAGACAGTGTTTAAAGGAAAAAAGTTAAAATAAAGCAAGTACTGGAGTTGGAGATAGATCACACAAAACAAACTCTTTCTGATGACAAAAGGAAGGCAGGGAGAGACAACTTATATTAATGAATATAAAAGTGAGGATTTTCATTAACATGGTATAATTGTAATTACTTTGGTTCCTTACAAAGCTTTCTGAATGATTTTGCATATTTCAGACACTTATCCCAATCTGATGTCCTCCACATGTGCTGGACTCCAACTCTCATTATCCCCAGCCACCATGAGTTGCCATGCTCTCTGCAAGTGATGGGAGCTGCAATCCAACATCTGGAAGGTACCAGATTGACAGTGGCTAACTTACCTGTGTTTCTGGGTAACTGTGTCCATCAAACTGCTAAATTTATGGCTGTATTTTTTGTCAAACCTGCAACCTTTCTTCTTTGCTCACCCAGCCTGTTTGCAGTCTGCATGCAATCCACTGGGTTTTGCCCACATGCTTATTGGTGTTGACTCTCAGCATTGACAAAATCCATAGCATATTTGTATAAAACGGTATGTCTGTTGATCTTTAAGAACACTGCTTATCCTGGGTAATGGAAGGGAAAGACACATGCAGGGCCGTCTTAACAGCATTATGGGCCACGGGCAAAGCAGTGTACTGGGGCCACTACGACAACTACAACTACTGTTAAATTTGGAAGTTTTCCAATTTTCCAAGGGTGAACATACACAGATTAGTATGGGGCCCACGGGCAAGTGCCCATCAGGCCCATGCGTTAAGACAGCCCTGGACACATGGCTCTGTACATGCTGTTCGGCATTCCACAAAATTGTTCTCTGTTCTCCCTACTGTGACTCACTGATAAGTCCCATGTTGAATTCATTTGGACTGATAACTATGGTTTGGAACTACCCTCACCCCGTTTTTTGGCTGTATTTATTCTTATTTCCTTCCCGGGCTGAATTTTAAAATATTGTTTACATTCATTTTGCTATGTTTCTTGCATTGTTCTGTGTATTTTTTTTCTTGAAGAAAAGTTGTTTAGATGGATAGAGAAATCAGTCAAATAACCCACTTGATGTACCAATAGTGCTCTATGAATAAATATATAAATAAATATTTCTGCACAAAAAACCCGAGAATACAGCAGAATATAATGTGACTTACCTTGGAGTAGGTATGCATAGGTTTGTACTAAAAAGGAATGATTATTGATGGTGGAATGTGGTGGTTAGGGACTTGGACTGAGGACCTGGGAGTTATGGGTTCCACTTCACTTACTCTCACCCTAGCCTACTTCACAGGATTATTGTTGTGGAATGGTTAAAATGGAGCCATGTAAGCTGCCTTGAGTTCCTCACTAGAGGACAAAAGCTGGTAGAAGTACAATGTAATAATAACACATCGGAAGTTAATATCTGACCAGTTTCCAGGTACATATTTTGAGATCAACAATTTTTATAATCTTATATATGAACAGTTAAATTGAAAACACGGTAAAAGGGAATAACATGGGAATTCTTAGATGCAAGGAGACGTCTTATACGTTATATAACGTGAGAAATCGTATATGCAAGGACGGTCCCTATTGGTATAAAATAGGTTACCGCTACAGACTAACAGGGCTACCCTTTTAGTGGAAATGGTTTATGCCGCCTTTGTTTCCTTGTTCGATCCTTTGTAATCCTTTGATAGTCTCTTTGGAAAGAAATGGCAGTCTAGTGGATGTACACATATGCATATGTTCGTTCTCTTTTAAATGTGACAAATGCGCGTCTGCGTATACATAACAGGACTGGAGCAAGGGAAGATTCTTGCCGTTCCATTCAATGACAGGACCTGCGTGGGACTTCATTTCCCAGACATCTCTGCTCACACTTTAACCCTCACCCTCCCTTCCCCTTGCTTTTATCTTCTGGCTCCTGCCACTCGCTACAGCTAGATCCCCGCTTATCGGTGCGCGCTGCCGGCTTGCTTGGCCGCAGCCGCGTCCTCGGGAAGGAACCCTGGAGTGTGTGTGAGAAAGAGCGAGCGAGCGAGAGAAGCCAAAGGCAGGTTGCTGCGGGTTTCGCTTAAGCTGCGTCCGGAAGCGCCCTCCAGTTGCGAAGCCCTCACCTTTGCATCCAAGCCGCAGGAGCGCAAGGTCCGTTGGCGCTTCTCCGCCTGGCCGAGAGAGCCGCTGCAAGGCGGATGTAGTGAGGGACGAGCGAAGGAAGGGAAGATGGTCATTCGAGTCTTCGTCGCCTCGTCCTCTGGTTCCGTAGCGGTGAGTGGGAAAGAGGGGAAGCGAGAGGGAGGCAGAGAGGGGAGCGCGCAAGTCCGGCGACTGGGAGTCGAGGCGAATGGATACCTGAGCCGGCGGCAGCGATCCTGTGCACACTTCCCTGGGGAACACGGTGGGGCTGCCTCCTGAGGAAGCATGCATAGGGGAGCGCCTTTGGGTCAGCTAAAAGCCCAAACACGAGAAACCTGACTGGACCTGCCTCGCCTTTCGCCTTGGGCGGGAGAGGAGAGGAGAGGAAAAATCATCATAACTGAGCGCAACGGATTGCCCACCCAGAGCGGGAAATGCAGCAACTGGAGCAGAAGAGCTTTTAGGAAGTTCGGATGCAATAGCATCAACAGCTTGCCTCGGCGTGGTCCGAGAGGGGGCTCACGGTGGTCCTCGCCGTGCTGTCACCTCCATGCGTAAACTCTTGGCTTGGGCGGTCACCTCCTCTCCTGTTGTTGTGTTGCAGCTCCCAGTGGAGGTGCCACCAGTGCAGTGGCTTGGAGGTCTCTGCCTTTCTTGCACGCATCCTGATCGCTCAAAACGGGGGAGCTTCGTGAATATACGGCTGCTTTACAAAACAAGGCTGAGAAGTGCATTTAGAGTATAATGGGTCTTCTGAAGCCACACGTAGGAATTAATAATGCTCTATTTCCTTAAAAATAATTGGGCTTCCATATGCTCAAATGGCTTGGGGGGAGCTCTTGGTCGTGCTTAAATGATCACACATAGAGGCAGCAGACCTGTGTGCACTGACTTGGCTCTATATCGAATTATTCATTGTGATGAGCTTCTGTGTCATCATATACAGAACTGAGATGCACTTCAAAGCAAATTTGATCAAAGGTTTAGCATTAGACCATATGAGATGTGAATCTGTGGAAAAGGGGGGAAAATCTGCAGAGAAGAATCAGGCTAAATCAGACTTAGTGCACACTAAGTATAATTGAATCCAACCTTTGTAGATCTTCAGATAAAAACTTGTTATAAAAACTCAGTCCCTTAGCACCTTAAAAATATACATGTGTAATTCAAAGAAGAAAGGCAAAGGTTGACAATGTGAGACTTTATGATCATAACAGTATCCATAGCGTTAGGTTAGGTTTAATTTATAATACTGGAAATCGATAAATAAATGTGCTGCTTTTATTGACACTATTTACTGATTAAGAAAGTATAAGTGAAGGATTACTTATGAGTTCTTTTCTGGTTAACCAGTTGCATTTAGAATAAAACCAAGTAACATTTTATATTGCCAAAACCTCTTTGAACTATTGAAAGAAATGGAAGCTAACTTGCAGTATAATAAACAAAATCTACCACTCATATGGAAGGAAAGACCAGGCAAAATATTTTAATTCCAATTATCCTAATTTGCCATGTTTACCATACCAATCTTATATACTGCCTGAAGTTCTCTTTATAACAATCCATATTGTAAAAGAGTAATAATTAAAAGAGCTTCCAATAATAAAACAATATCCTGTTAACTTCCACTCTGATGCAGCTTGCTGTCCTATGCATATGTCCTGGGGAACAAATGCCAGTTAAGAAACCAGAAGTTTCCCTGATAGCTATGAATAACTACAGTTTCAGTAATTGAGTACAATGCACATTATCCTAAAATAGTGCTAAATACTCTTTTAATTGATTGGCATTCTTGCAAGAGGATGGCATTTATTTTCTACTTTAAAAGCTCTAGGACAGCCTTCCCCAACCTGGTGACTTTTAGATGTTTTGGATTGCAACTCCCATCAGCCCTAGCCAGCATGGCCAATGGTCTGACATGCTGGGAACTGCATTCCAAAAGGGTGCCCTGTGCGGGGAGGCTGCTCTACAGCAAACACACTGGCACACTGAAAAGTATAAATTAAAAGTGGAGTCTGCAACAAAATGCTGCAGGGTGGAGCTTTTCCTGTTCATGATTCCAGCAGCTTCATTCCCCCTGCTTGTCTCTCCCACGCACAGTTTTGCACTTTAACCTCACCTACAGGCAGGCAGCATTTGATAGGCACTAGACCTCCTTATTTCTCATTGTGTGGTTTTGATTATTTTTCCCCAACTGGTTTATTTATAGAGATTTTTCTACTTCACCATACTTGGCAGTGACCCAAGGCCACTGACACCTCTCCTATATGTATGGGTGGTGCAGTTTTGGGTAGATAAGCACCGGCCAGTCAGAGAATTAAGATGTTGTCCCAGTCTTGTAAAACTAGCAATATCAGTGTGGCGTAGTGGTTAAGAGCATGGGACTGGGACTCAGGCGGTCTGGGTTCTAGTCCCCGCTCGGCCATGGAGCCAACTGGGTGACTTTGGGCCAGTCACAGACTCTCAGTCCAAGCTACCTCACAGGGTTGTTGTTGTGGGGATAAGATGGAGGAGGAGATGTAAGCTGCCCTGAGCCCTTTGTAGGAAAAAGGCAGGATATAAATCGAAAAATAAAAAAATAAATAAATATCAGAAGTCAGTTTTAGGGAGTTTTTTCCCATCAGGTAGGACATATATATTTCTTCAAACTTGGTGCTAGTAATTAACATTTCCTATAGCTTCCCCTTGATTCAACTCATTTAGCATATAACCCGAGAGCTTTCTCTGTATCTGCTTGAACTGCTCATTCTTATTTATGTACAGATATCAATATTACATTGCATTTATATACTGCCTTTTTTCAAGAAGCTAAGGCAGCTTACATAACTCCATTTTATCCTCACAACAACCCTGTGAGGTGGGCTAGGTGAAGAGTCTGTGACTGGCCCACTACTTCTGTATTTAAATTCAGACTACATGTACTCCAAATGAGAGTGACTGGAGGGTTTCTCAGCTACTGTTCATGTTTCCGTAATGCTGGTACTGGACTTTGTACTCTTTTCAAACAGCCCTCATACCTCTGTGGGACCTTCCCACTGGAAGAGTTGCTAGAATACCTTGAACTGTGTCATATTTGTTTGAGGTTCATTTGTGCAATGAAAACTGAAGCCTTGGATACACTTGGCAGGAAGCATACGCAGTATTTGGTAGCTGTGTACTAATGGCCAATAACAACTAATTATCCATTTCAGGAGCCTGCTTAGTAAATATAGAATCTTTTTTGGAACTTGGGTAATGCGCAGTCCTTGAACACTCATAATAGAAGGCTTCCCTCCCATAATAATTGTCAGTCCACTCTTGGCAGCTGGTTTCTAGTGCAGTAATGGCACACCAGAACATTTTGTCTTTGTCACATGCTGAAAAACAACAGTTAAAAAAATAAGAAAGAGGAGCTGCTCTGTGTGCATCTGTCCTTGAGAACTGGTAACTGCGGGTGACAGATAGGTGTTTTTTGCTGTATCCTATCCTATTTCAAGCATTTATTTGTTGCTGTATAGCTCATAGCTCCTGCATAGGAATAAAATCCATTGAATTCAATGGGTCCTGCCTCTGACTAGACATGAATTGTCTTCCCCTGTTCATCTGTGATCCTTTATAGATTTCGACAAGTAAATTCCATTGACATTGATGGGGCTTGGTGTTCTATTTTCATGCCTGCGTCTGAACCCTGGAAGTCCTCTATGACACGCATGCATTGTTGAGCACGTGAGCTTTCTTATCCACTGACCTGGAGAGGGTAGGTCTGTAACTGTTAATGCGGAGTGAGTACAGTCAAGTTTCTGGATAGGTAACATGTCACAGGACAGGCTCAACCTGGTATTGTCTTCACCTATGGAAAATCAGGTTGTTTTTAAAATCTGCAACACAAACCTGTCCAAGCCAAGTTCACCATAATACCTTGTGGTTCATCCCTGGTGTGTGGGAATTACCTGAGCTTGTGACCGAGGGGAGTTGGGAAAACAAACATTGCTATCAAAGGCAGGAGCCCTGGCTCTAACTGGAGCCTGAGTTCACATGAAACATCATTGCGTTTCTGTTTGAACAGTGCAAATTCCAAACTCCACGTTATGCTCATTGTGTACTGGGCAGTGATGTCTTGTCCTTTCTACATATGCATGCAGCCCTGATTGGGACCACTGTACTTGTGGGAGGGAAGGATTAAATCTTCACCACACTACTCATGGGCTTAACAAAAGAAAATAATAGTTGTCGTTATTGTTAATGGAAACTTCCCTGCCCTCCACGCACAGAGGGATTTGGGGGGAGGAAATGGTAGAAAAGCAAGGTTTACCATTCCCTTCCCAGGTTCAGCTGACTAATGTTGTCAGTGTAGCATGTAGTTTAACTCCAAGTCAATTCAGCCTTCGCTTCTGCATAGCGTTGAATGGAAGATCTGGCCTGGGAGAAGGTTCCAAGGGGCGATTAAGCAGATTGTGATTTATTGCATCTTGCATACAGACCTTATGACTGGGAATCCAAACTAGCCTCATTTCTGACCTGCAATATTAGGGGCAGACAGAGTACATTGAAGGACTACTGCAAGCTGCTATTGGAATAGCAGACTGACCTGTGATAGGGGCATTATGGCTACCGCAGCTCAACGTGACATGTGAAGATAAAAGGATTCTGGTCCTCTCTTAGTTTTAGCTTATGTGGCAATAAGGGTCTGACACTGCCTGACACCACTGCAGGGTTGTTGTAAATCATTTGGAGTCTAGCATGCAATACTGAGTGTGAATTACACGGGAGAAATGACGTAAGCCATTCTGCCCTGGCTTCCTTCAACAGCCAACTTTTATTTGGAATTTAGATTTGTTTAAAAGTGTGATTCACACTACATCAGATCGGAACTAGAACGAACAGAAATCTTTCTTTTTAATTAACTGCTTTGGTTTTCTTTCAGGGACGGTGCCCAGTCTCAGGTATAGGAAAATTTTGGGATTTCTCAATTAATTTCTATGTGTATTTTTCACATAGCTTTTTTTCCCTAATGCCTATTAATTGTGAAACAGGAAATGACCATTTTCAGGCATTTGATCAGTTTCCATGATATGTGTTACGTGCTGTCAAGTTGGTTCCAACTTATGGTGACCCTGTGAATGGAAGCCCTCCGAAATGGCCTGTCCCTG